CGGTGAGGGGGTGCCAGCCGTGCCCACCCCCGGCGGAGCCAGACACGGAGGCTCGGTGAGGGAGCAGGAAGCCCTTGGCGACGCCAGCTGCGGTGGTGACGCGGCCGGTGGCGCGGGGCTCTGCTGGGGTGACGACCAGCAACCCCGGACCAGTCCCCAGTGAGCCGAGCGTGCACTCCGTCGTTACCGCCCGCCCGTGCCTGTGCGCCCGGCCGGCCAGGAAGTCCCCCTGCAGATCCTGCTCTGGGCGCCCTCCTCCCGCCAGGCCCTCCCCCGTGCCACGGTGCTCCCGCCAGACTCTTGCCGCCGTCACTTGGAGCCCTCCGTGTCCCCCTGTGCCAGGCCCAGGGGAGGCTCTGGGGAGAGGCTGGCCTGATACACACATGAACGAGTGACCCCGTTACACGGATTCTGCACCTGATACATGCATGAACGAGTGACCCCGTTACACGGATTCTGCACCTGGGTGGGGCCTGCTCCCCCCACAGTGGACCCCTGGGGCTGTGCACCTGGGGGAGCCAGCCCCCCGTACGCTTCCTCCGGGAAGTCCGCCCGGGCCTCACCTTTGTAGAGGGGCGTCTCGCGGGACTTGTTGGAGATGTCAGGCTCTGCCCCCGCCTGGAGCAGCAAGAGGAGGCAGTCCAGGTGTTCCCTGCACGTGGCCAGGTAGAGGGCCGTTTCCTCCTGCAGGGTGCGCTGGTCAATGGCCGCCGGGTACGCTGGGGAGCACGGCCGGGAGATTCAGGAGGGAGGGAGACGCCCGGACACACCGGCCTTCCCGGCTTCCTCCTAGCTCCAGGGACAGCCATGCGTGGCGTCCCCGGAATCCAGCACCCTGGACGGCAGGCGCCTTGCCCTTCTCCGGGACGGTTCCGGCTTCCTAGCCTTGAAGCCCAGCTCAGAGGACACCTCCCTGGGAAGCCTTCCGTGATGGAGCCCCTCCCGCTGAAGGCTCCTGGCCTGCCCTTGCACTGCCACCAGCCATTGCGAGAAACTTGTCTCCCGCCCTCTGGGGTCCTCGAACGTGAGGGGAGAGGTGCCCCCTGCTTGCGGCGGTCACCCCTGAGAATCTGGCTCGGGGGAAGTTGGGGCCCAGGACGCATGGCGGCTGGGGGGTGGCCTCGGCGGCGGGCGGCGG